CGTTTTATCAGTGAAATAAAAGTGTCATTCCACTGGCTAGTTGTTTTTACCTAAAATGATTGTAAAATCATAAAATAAATAGAACATTTGTCGTTTTGTAGTGAATAACATATTTTATTTCATCTCTAAGCAAGAAAACGTTTATATTTTCACTCATGCTACGCATTCGTTAAAATATAAGTTTTCTTGCTTCTCGATGAAATAAAATATGTTATTCACTCTAAAACGACAAATATCCTCTATATATACCTATGTGATCGATGGTTAATTATATCTATAGTTCACAAAGTGGTGTGTTTCTTTCTTACCTGTGATGCTGCGGATTAATATTACACAAAGGTTTGAATAGTAATTAACGATAATTGAGACTGATCAATGATTATGTAGGAATGACAACAGTAAAAGTACAGGTTCGCATTGATTAAGTGGGAATTTCAATAAAAGTAAAAATAACGGTATTGGTTTGCAATATTATATTTCCGATACTATATGTGAGTTTTGACATTAATGACAATAGTTATACTGTCTAAAACTTCGCTAGTTATTATGAAATAAAATTTAAGAGGACCCCAACAAGGCTCAGCTCTTTGACCCCTTTCTCTATTTTGTAGCTTGAATGATTCATAGTCGTGTGAAAAGGGCGTTTGGTGTAATCGAATATCCGCTGACTTTTTAAAGAATTCTAGTAAGATTTAATTCCCAAATTGACGAGTGGTCAAGAGTTCAATTTGATTCAAAAATGTGTAAAGTATTCTTCGTGAATGTGATTCCGTACGATCGCCTTCATATCTGTATATTGTGAGAATAGATGCTGCAAATCCTATCCATCGTATATGTGGCGCAGTTCTTAATTGTCTCAATAAGGAGATAAACTAGATTACGCGTTTATATTATTCCGTTTTTGTAACTGATTGTTGAAAAGCTCAATCTTCAAGTTATTTAAATTTAATTAAAAAAAACAACATTACCTTCACTTAAACATACAACATTATTTTCATTTGTAACACATTAATTTTATTTAAAAGTAACACATTAATTTTATTTAAAAGTAACACATTAATTTTACTTAAAGGTGACACATTAATTTTATTTAAAGGTGACACATTAATTTAAAAAAAAGGTACACCTTTCATTTAAAAGTGAGACCTTAAATAATTACATTAATTCCATGTACAAGTAACATACAAATTTCAGTTAAACGTGGTACATTAATTTTAGTTAAAAGTGACACATTAATTTTAGTTAAAAGTTACACATTAATTTTATTTAAAGGTGACACATTAATTTTAGTTAAAAGGGACACATTAATTTTAATTACAGTATATGTGATTTTAATTAGATCGTGGAAATTGGGCAATTTTTGGGTCGATATTGCACAATATTGTAGTTTGCAAAAGATTCCTATTGTGCAAAAATGGCGCAATGAGAGTTTTTCCGTAACGTTTTACTTTCATTTAAAAATATCATTTTTAAAGTAAATCATCAATTTCGTTTAAAACTGACACATTGACTTCATTTAAAGTAAAACATTAATTTCACAATTATTCCATTTAAAAATCGATCAATACAATTTTCACGTTCTTTATACGAGTATTTTTATAAACTTCATTGAAATAAATGTGTAACAGTTGTAAAAAAACGAAAAGTTGTGAATCACATAAATGTCCATTCTTTGTTTTCTATGACCTAGTATATTAGCATAAACGTAAGCGATCAGATCAATGGTTGACACGTATAGAGGCAAGCTATTCAACAGAATTGAGAGCTGTGACAGCTGGGTGATGAGGGGGAATGCGGCGTTCCGAGCCAATGCTCACGCCTAACGAGTATTACACAGAATTCCATCCTGGGCGGGTTTTAGAGGCGATTAATTTACAGATTTCATGCCTTCTGAAGTGCCCAAATGATTTAGTTATTTGAATTTTAAGCTCAGTTTTAATGTTTTCATAATTTGAATTTCTCGGTGTTAAATATTAATATTATGGAGGTAATATTTTTATTAAATTCTTTATAAAGTGCAATTTTAAAACAAAAGTGACTGAGCAGTACATTGGGTCTTAAGAGAAATACAGTTTACTAATTACCTCAAGATCGATTTGAATATGCAATATGTATTCTAAGATCATCTATTTTTCAGGCATTATAATTTGTCGATACTTATCGCAACCACCTGTACTTTCTGACCATGTGAACCGTCGATTAACTAAAACGTTTTCTAGAAAGAGAAAGGATTATGCCACTGACACGACGGAAAACCCGGTTAAAGTTTCTCGGCCAACACCGAGATGAGCAGGTCCGCTTTTCTTGAAATATTTATCAAATGATTTTTGCATAGTTTACTCTTTTCACCAAAGTATTTTACATAAAAAATATTCCTTTCTGGTATTTTCTTTGGGAATAAAGAAATCACTCCAGGACAAAAATATTTGATCTCTTCAAAGTTTGAAATAAAATTTAAAAAAATTACACCATCGATCGAAGAACTATTTATCTAATATAATGATATCAGTATTATTACACTTATTTTGAAAAAAAGAAAACCTGACGTTGTTGCTCAATATGTATGCTGTGAACGAACATGTTATTGACAACGGAACCAATTTTTAGAAATTATTAGCTATACCAGGTGTGTGTGCGTGTGTGTGTGTCTGTGGGGAGAGGGGTAGGGGAGTTGTGTGGTGTAATGCATGCTCTTTAGACCACAAGATATGTCATATAGTAAAGAAGCGTATTTTCGACCACAAGCTCGTACTGACAAGGAGTATGGGTGTCTGTCCAATCTGTACTATTGAAATAAATTTGTGTAATACTTCGTTAGTCCCTAAATACTCGCTCTCTCTCTCTCTCTCTCTCTCATTAGCGACGACAAGATGGTGATGACGTCGCTTCTTCACACTTATAACATGGTAGGTATTGAAATGTGTATTTATAAAGGTTATTCAACTACATTGTGTGTAGTAATAATTACTGCATTCGGGGGCAAATCTAGGAATTTTGAAAAAGGGGGGGGGGGGCGCCGCAAAATGAGGGCACTGACCGCGGAGACGAGGCACGCCGCTGAGAGGTTTTATTTTTTTTTGGGGGGGGGGTTCCCCCCAAGAAAATTATCCGTCGTTTCCTTGCATCTGTAACCATTCCAGGAGCTATTTGGCAGATATTTTCGTCTAAGTAAACGTTCGGAAATCGTTGAAAAAGAGTGTAAAAAAAGAGCAAAAAAGCCAGTTGAATATGCGACTCGAAAATTGTCAAGGCGAGCGTGGCATTATGATGGGAAAAAACGAATATATTCCCTAGCCACAACGGAAACAGTTTTTAGAAATTATTAGATATACCAGGTGTGTGTGTGTGTCTGTGGGGAGAGGGGTAGGGGAGTTGTGTGGTGCACTGAAAAAAAACTTGTGTTGAAACAACACAAACTTGTGTTGTTTTCAACACAAGTAAGGTGTCTCTATTTAACATCACAAACTTGTGTTGAAACAACACAAAACTTGTGTTAAATGTTGAAACAACACAAAACTTGTGTTAAAATTTATCAAACAACACAAACTTGTGTTGAAACTTGTGTGAAAATCTACACAATACTTGTGTTGAAATTTTTGAAACTTGTGTTGAAATTTTTGAAACTTGTGTTGAAATTTCTGAAACTTGTGTTAAAATTTCTGAAACTTGTGTTGAAATTTCTGAAACTTGTGTGGTTTCATACAAACTTGTGTATAACCATCCACAAAAACTTGTGTTGTGTTTTTCCCAATTTATATACAGTATAGCAACCTTTTTATGCAGGACCCATCTCTTTGCTCTGTTAGACCTGTAAAGTTTGATAAAAGAAGGAAACAAAATTTGTTTTTGTTTTTGTAAGATTATTATTTATTCATAAAATCATTGGAAAAAGTAAATTAATACATCAAAACTAAATAGATATTTGAAATGTTAACAGAAAAACAGAGAATTCTAATACTAATTATATTGTGTTATATATAATGACCCCCCCCCCCCACACACACACACCCCACTTTACCCATCACAAAATATAACATAGCTATTTAAATTGTTCTTAACCCCACACACTTTACCTATCACAAAATATAAAATAGCTATATAAATTGTTCTTTACCCCAAAACAAGAACTGAGAATATAAAGATATGTACACAGTATCCCTACCCCATACTCCAAAATATATAATTCAAATAATATCTAAATTTAATAACATCCAAACCAAGCACTAAGATTAATTATGCACTAAATTGAAACAATTTCAAAAACTGAAAAGTGCTACAAAATCACACTACAAGTGATTTGTGAGACATATAGAAATAACTAATATACACAGAAAACTAACAAAAGAAAAATGCACTATTTTGCAGGAGTAATAAAATGATGTAAAACCTTTTCCTCATTAAAAAACCCCAAACAAAATGAATATTTTGTAAATAAAAGAAGCAAAGCATCAAGATTACAGGATTGAAATAAAAAAATTTCATATGTACAAAAAATTTATATACAATCACAAGTCATAAGCCACAGTGGTTCAGTGAGTATAAGGTGTTGGCCGAGAAATTTCAACTGGATTTTCCGGCATAGTTCCCACTTGTCAGTAGTCTTGGATATGGCAAGGGATAATTGGGTACAAGCCCGGAATCAAAAGAGAGAGAGAGAGAGAAATGGGGTTTAACGTCCACTTGACACAAACTAGGTCATTTCGGGATTAACATATGGTTTAATTTTATTTCAATAATTCGTTGCGCATAGGGGTCTTTAGCAGTGGGAGGAAACCGTAGGTCCCGTAGAAAACCCACAAGATTGGACAGGCGACCCTACTCCTTGTCACGTACAACCGGGGATTCGAAACCACGCCAGTTGACTCAATGACAGGCTGTATGATACCGCACGCACATGCTTACCATTCGGCCATCCACCACCCCATCCCCCATTCCCGGAATCGAAACCATCCCCACTGCGTTCACTTAGAAGAAGCCTTGACAATTGAATTATTTGACTCAATGACAGATTTCCCGATCAAATGTGTGCGTGTTAATCATTGCCCCCCCCCCCGGGTTCCCGTTAAAGAACCCTTGACAGTTGAAATATTTGATATAAGAGTAGGGTGTAGGGCAGAATCACTCTAAGAACACAGAAAAGTAGGATACTAAACCGTATTTCATTTCATAAGCAAGGGAAAGTCACCTTTATGTAGGTCAAGGTTTTTTGTAATTCTGGGTGTATTTGATCTACATTTGGTTTCTAGTAATGCCTATTAAATACTTTATGATTTCTGACCAAATTCTAAGTGATTTATATGACACTTTACTTGCTATATTATACATACATTTCTGAAGAGAATTAAAATCTAATTGTGTTTTGGAAGAAAATTTAACATTAATAACAAAAAATAAATATTTAAAAATTGGGTCAAATGCATTCTTTCCCAGAAGTATAAAATAAATTGATGCTTGGGTTTTCTTGTTGTTATCATACAGCAAATACTCTTTCAATGGTGTTCCAGCCTAAAAAATAAAAAGTAGGAGATAAGAATACTTTCTATGGTTCACAACGTTTAAATAAACAATTTATTTTTGCCACATCGAGACCGAGTCTCTATTTGGTTTCAACTCTGCGTAATGTCTAATTATTTTTGGACCCATTCTTATTTTATTTCCATTGACAACAAATTGGATATTACCCTTTAAAATCTACTGAAATCTATTTGAAAGTAAAATACTGCTTTTTACTGTAAAAATACACATACATGTAGGGCCTATCGCAACTTGAAGGAAATCAATGGATGTGATTGGCAAAAATCAAGCATGCCAAGTACTTGAAACAGCAGAGTCCTAGGCATTGCCCCAAGAAGAATAACTAGATTACCAAGCAAGTGTATAGAAGTACTTCCTGATTAAAAATACAAATATATATGTTACTTACATTTTGCGTGTTTTCCCCTTGTCAGTGATACAGGACGGAGGACCTGACAAGGACAGCTGTCTAGTCATTCGGATGGGACGAAAAACCGAGGTCCCGTGTACACATTGGCGTGCACATAAAAGATTCCTTGGCAATTGGAATACGATATAAGAGTAGGCTGTAGCGCCGCTGCCCGGGCAAAATTCCCTTCATAGCACACTGTATGGCGTATGCCCGTCTTCATTAGCCCAATTTATGAGCAAAACAGTAGGATGTTAAACCCCATTTCATTTCATTTTCAAAATTATAAAATAATTTGATGGCTTAATATTCAAAAGGTACAGTCCTTCATGTTTATAAAATTGTACGGGAGCCATAAAAAGCTCCTGATACCTTGAATATATGCAGTTTAAAAGTAAACAAAAATCTCAATATTTAGGAGAGAGAGAGAGAAATGGGGTTTAACGTCCATCCAACCCCCCACCAAGTGTATAGAACCAGTTCCTGATTTAAAATGCAAATATGCATGGTACTTACATAGTCTTTGTCTGATAAGCAAGATCTGTGAGAAAACGTCTCCACAATATCAATAGCCCTTTCCAACTTGATCTTCCGAGGTGGGTAACTGAAAAAAAAATGGCAATGTATTAGTTGGCTTAAATTGACTAGACAGTTTTGATTAATTAAAAAAATGTTACTTTAATTACATTTGTTTTGTTTCATGTGTTGGTTTGCTTTGCCACAGATGAGACAGTGATATCTACATATAACTAAGATTCTGTCTCTGCTCATACATGACGTGTACAGTTTTACTATACTAAACTGAATTTTAGATTTCAAAATAGCATAACAATCTTTTCTATTAGAATTGAATAGTTACCCACCAAGAAAAAGCTGCTCTATCATCATTTTTTCCAGCCATTTCTTCTTCCTTTTTTTCTTTTATAATTTCTTTTGTTATTACATGATCTTTTTCTGGGTGATTTGCATATACATCCAATATTGAAACTGAAAAAATAAATACATGATATGTAATTTACGATTAAAGCTACCTTACCATATATACAAACTGTGTGATATGAAATTGAAACTAATGTATCTATATGTATCAAAATTTTTAATCCCAAGGAACTACCTAGCCGTAAAAGTCTATCTTAATAATCCTTGTTTGTCACATGGTTTCACTGTCGCAGTAATTAGAAGACGGCCATGGTGACTGAGTAAATTAGGTGCTGGCACACTAGCATGGAGGCCAAAGGTTATCTCTTGGGGTTGACCAAGAAAGCTCATCTTGATTTTGCAGAGTGGTTTCCCCTGAGATCCAATGTACACATTGGCGTACACATAAAAGTTCTCTTGGCAGTTTGAATTCGGTATGAGAGTAGGCCATAGTGTCGCTGCCCAGACAAACATTTTCACTTAGCACAATGCATTAGACCAGTCGGAGCTGACCAGTAGGACATTGTCTTTAAACCCCATTTCATTTCAGGTAATCTAGTATTTTTCTAGTAAGATTGAAGTCTCTCTACTTTCTTTATATGTAAATATCATATTTGAAATAAGTCATACTTTTATTCGATATGGGGTGGGGCTGGGGGGAATGGTCTAGTAGGTAATGCATGCGCATGAAATCACAGGGTCTGTCATTGTGTTAAGTGGCATGGTTTCAATTTCAAGGAGTAGAGTCGCCTGTCCAATCTCTTGAGTTTTTTCGCTGGGTCATTCGGTTTCCTCCGTTTTCTAAATACAATTCAATATAAATCAAACACGAAAATACTTTAAAACAGTAATCATGATGCAATATTAGACTTTTTAACACTTTCATCGAAAACCACACAGTTTTTCTCTGTTAACGTAGTTTCAAGTGCCAAATTGTGGTCAAATCTAAAATGTTGAAACATGCAGTGCCTATCAATTTTAAAATATCTCCTATATAGCTGTATTTCCATAGGATAAGTAAGTTGAAATAATCTGATTATGTAACACTACAACAGCTTTTTCATCCCTACCCCCCAGTTTGGAATCTGATAATTTAAAAGCACATGAATTTTGAATTCCACAGAACATTTTTATTTTTGAACATAAATGCATTCTTCAAAAAGATGAGATGAATTCAATATAAATCAAACAGGAAAATACTTTAAAACAGTAATCATGATGCAATATTAGACTTTTAACACTTTCATCGAAAACCACACAGTTTTTCTCTGTTAACATAGTTTCAAGTGCCAAATTGTGGTCAAATCTAAAATGTTGAAACATGCAGTGCCTATGAATTTCAAAATATCTCCTATATAGCTGTATTTCCACAGGATAAGTAAGTTGAAATAATCTGATTATGTAACACTACAACATTTTTTTTCATCCCCCTCCCCCGGTATGGAATCTGATACATTGCTGACCAATCATAGGTCGCCCCGTTCACTCGGGCCTGTCAAATGATTTACAATGGCGATGGTGCTTACAACTTTCCTGACCAAGAGATATGCACAACCGTCGATCAACACACAAGCCATTAATGTTATCTTCCAATATGAGAGGCCATGATAAACACACAAGCGTCCTTTTCAAGCTCGGAAATTAAGTCATCACCAAAAAGCAAAGTTTACAGAGGTCCTCGGGGCTGGAACCCAAACTGATTACGATTTGCCCTCCACTTCCACCACAGGTGTCATAGAGATCAGGGATGAAATTGATATGCATCATCGTTCTCCTAAAGCCAGTCCAGGAAGAGATCAGGTTTTGAGATGTAGACCTGAAATGTTAAATTTGGATGAGAATGAGAATTCTGGGGCGAATACTATCCAGGGAAATGGTCATTGACATCCAGAAAATGGTCAAAATGTGGAATTCTGTCATTCAGTTAAATGTCAAGGGGAGAAGACAGGCCTGTGCAGTACAAAATTTCCAGCCCATTACTATTCGTCAGCAGAAGTGGGGATGAGGTTGGATGTACTTCTTAAAGTGTATGAAATGCACATTTATCTCACCTGTTTTGCTTCTTTTTTTTTTAATACTTGTGTTGAGGTCAATCATTCCACTCTATGAAACATTGCCCTGGCACCTGAAATGATAGGAGGCTGGGGATAAATATGCAATAAAAAACAGTGAGAAAATAAGAAAAAAATATGGTTTCAACTGGAAATAGAAATAAACCTCTTTATTTCTCGCGAACAGCCCGTCACTGGCCCTCCAAAAAGAAACCAGTTAACAATCAGTAAAAAAGTAAACCTTGAGTGTCACATAAGTCTAAGCCAATCTCAAAGGTAGAAGCCATGTTTTGAGGTTCGGTCTAAATATTAAGGCCAACTGCATGTTTGGTCAAAAGTCACATAGGTGTGAATTTTGGAGTGTACATGTTAACATTTCATTGTATGATGTCAAAAACATGTTAGGTCTAAATGTTAAGGCCAACTGCAGACTTGGTTCAAGGTCACAACATGTAAATAGGGTTAAGGCACATGATTTTTTGACACAATTGTGGGTTTGGGCTAGGGTCAGAACTAGGTCTTGGCTTAGGCCTAGGCTACATGCTTTTTGACAAGATTGTGGGTTAGGGTAAGGACTGGGTCTTGGGTTAGGGTTAGGGTCAGTCTTGTTTACATCTCGTGACTTTAGACCAAATCTGGAGTTGAGTTGGCCTTAATATTTAGACCTAACCATGTTTTGATATCATTGTGAACAAAATGTTACACATTTACAACCCAAAATTCACACTCAACCAACGGATACCCCCAATCATGGCTATTTTGATACCAAATAGTCAAAAAACTTACTGCTGGGCAATAAAAAAGCAGTATTCTTACCATTTCTGACACTTTCCATTCAAAACTTCAGGAAATAAGCCGTTGAAAAAATATCAACATCCCGAGTCGGCCATGCTTCTTTATATCATCAGGAGTCAGACTAGCAATTATTTGCCCATTGACTTCAATGTTAAATGACTGTAACATCACAGGCTGTAGCTTTTTGCTCAACATTCCGTTGGTTCCAATCTTTATAGGCACAATGGGGACAACATTTGGCAATCTCCTCATCATAATTTTGTAGGGGGTTGATCGTTTAGATTTTTTGCTACACGGATTTGAAGTTGACAGGGGTGAAAATCTCACTTCCAACACAATGATTGCTCTGCAGAAAGACACTTTACACCCCCTATCCCTCCGCTGTAATATCATCAGTATTACCCAAAACTGCTATGAAATTGCAAATTTGATCCCTTTTCTCCAATTCTAGACCAAAAAGTCAACCCAAAAATGCAGAAAGAGGGGAGAAAAAAATTAAGGGAAAAATTGTCTATTTATAACTCGCACTACATTCGACAATCATGAAATAAGGGGAAATAATTACTAGTCTTAGTCCTGACTCTCTTATTAGGGTTGTCTTTCTTGCTTTTATCTTCCATTTATTTACGTTTTTGTTGTCTCAGAGATGGACTATTATTTAAAAAAAAAGTTGAAAATCGTAAAGTTTAGGAAATGTTAATCATATAATGATGTAAAAAAAATAAGAGCATATGATAAAAAAAATGTGTTTGAAATTGAAGGCTCTATAATTAGCCTATAATTAAGGTATCAGTATGGAACGAATCGTAATCGTACGGTAGGCCTATTCACTACGGTCAGACTGATATTTAGGAACGTAAAGTTATCGGTCTGGAACGGATCGTAATCGTGCGGTATTCACTAAGGTCATACTGATATTTAGGAACGTAAAGAAGACCATTTTACTAACCGTCTCCATTTTAAGAAAGAGCAGATATAAATATAGAAGAAGAGCAAGTTGATCATTGTCGCCATATTTGACCTATTTCTCTATTGGTTGTATATGCATTAAGGCGTGGATCTAACCAACCCGAGTAGCTCATTATTGAGCCGAGTAATTTATGAAATGAAATTGGGGTTTAATGACCCGCATTCCTTCACTATTCAGGCTAATGAACACGAGGCGTTCAAGCCAGCTCTTTATTCACAGAGCCGCCTGGCTCCCCTGAGAGACTTTCACTGACAACTAGTCATTGTCGAGACTAATGATTTTTATCGCCGCTGTTGATCAATATATATATTAAATAATAGCCCGAATTTAAGTATACCAAAAGTTAAAGAAATATAACCAGTTTTTGAGCCATTCAGATATGACTGCCAAAATTGTAATCAGCGCGCATGTTTTTTTAGGCTAAAGTCTAACCATAAAACTTAGTGTCCATACATAATAAATATTTTATTCCATTAATCAATTCCATTCCGCCATTGGTTTGTCTTAAACTCGTCATTTGTGTTCATGGGCATCAGGGTCGAGATGGCAACGTTATATGTTTTATTCGTCTAATTTACTATAAAACATCATTCGGTTTGCCTCACGGGTTAACGGCATATTAATAGCTTTATTCACTGAGATTGTTCCTTTACTTATAGTTTATTTTTCGAATTGCTTTTTGTATTTATTTAAATGGAAATATTTAGCACCTTTTGTTAAACCGTTGAAAGATTTAAAGTTTGGATTAATGTTAAGAGAGTGTGGGTCAAAGATGCCGCTGGCAGAGTGTGTATAGGGTGTTAAAGTTTAAAAGTTATTCCCTACAAGGTGGTTCTACGGTTCTTACCATAGAATTCAGCTGTGAAATAACACAGTTTCTTTCATTATGTGTACAACAATAAAACTAGTTCAATTGCAAGTTGTCTAAACCACGGTGCTGTGATGTATGCATCTAAATGTTTCGACGACCCACCAATCAGTAGTTGCATGATGATTAAATTTATCGGACATGGAATGTGAAAATGCTTTGGAACTTTCAACTGTAACACGTTGCAATAATTACTCAATATAAGCCAAAAGGATCCGCCTTGTTCATTTATAGCCCGGCCCTGTCTTCAGTATTAAAATATAAAATTGAACACAAAGTATATTTAGTAATCCGTATTGTAGTAATGGCAATCACGGCTTGTGTTTTTTTGTTTTGTTTTTTGTTGTTTGTTTTTTTTTCAAAATATAAAATAATTATGATGTCGTTTAACACTCACAATAACATATTTGGTTACCGGCCATTCAGCCATTCAGGACGTACATGTGTCAAGTATACAGTCATATATACAAACGCCTAACTATAGACGCCTACCATTCTTAATTTCTACTTTTCGCCCTCCAAAACACGAAAGTCGAAAAGTAGCAGTTACGACAAAATGTGAGGCGACAGCAACGCTATACAAGCCAAAATCGACTCGAAAAAAGGAAATCAAGAAATAATACACTGCGATAATAGCGCCCCTCGTTTTTTTTCCTAATTTCTTATTTTCGACTTGCATTTTGGCTTGTATACCGTCTTGTTGACTTTCGACTTAGTCATATTTTTGTATTTATTGATGTCAGTAAGATGTTACTATGGAGAACGTAAATTTCAGATTATACATTCCAGACTTCGTAATTGTAAAAGTGCTCTAAACTTCCATAGATTTTTAATGCATATTTCACATAACCCGACATGCAGTTGTGGTCATACTCAAGAAGACAGCGACCATTATTTTCTGCACTGCCCAAATTATTCGTCTCAGCGTATCTCAACATTAAATACCCTCCCATTTAAATCCATAAATACAAAAGCGTTCCTATATGGCGATACCAACGAAAGTAACCCGTTCAACAAAGTGAGTTTTAGTAAAGTTCACAAGTATTTAAAACTAAACAAGCACTTTGAATAGATAAGGTAATTGTCAGGCGACGATGATTGGTGTTAAATAGTGATGATGACGATGATGATGACGATGATGATGACCATGAAGATGATTTATTTATATATTTATATATATACTAGAAGAATGCCCGGCTTCGCTCGGGGGTCATAACTCCGAAACCGGAAGTGGTAGACTAACGCCACCTGGCCTATGTTACTCCCCGGTCCGAGCTACCCCTATACCCCAAATTTCAGACTCGGAAATGACAACGTGAATGATGGATCAGTCGAACGACAGAGTGAATGACAGGAGTTTTCCAGTCGAATAATAAAGATAATGGCAACTCTGGTCATAGCATATCTGTTTATAATATATTTCATATAAATGTTTATACACGTATTTGAAAAATACATTTAGGTCGACCTGTAATGTTGAATGTATAAATTCGGAAATGTTTTGATCTCTTGAACTGTATTATTTAAAATACACGATTAACGTATTAAATTGTAAATAATGAATCAAGCCAAGACATGTATTAAATGTTTTAAATGTTTTATTGAATTGGAATAGAAACTGAAAACAGATTAACACCCTGTGTGAGATATTTCATTCAAATATTGTGAAAGGGTTGGTAATAAAATTAAAATTGTCATTGTGTCATTTTAATAACATTGAATCGTCCTATTCTGTTACGTAGTCGTCTCAACATATTGTTGTCATGGGTTACTTCTGCTAAACAACTCAATAGAAACGAGTAAAGTATTATAAACGAAATTATGTCTAAAGAGTTCTTCATGACATGTATTGACTGTAAGACACAAAGCGTACAGGATCTAAGTGTGATGTTAAAGGTCAACACGCAAATATTGAAATTGGGTATGTTCGTGGATTGACTTATAGAATGTTGTTAATATTTCCATTTAAATAAATACAAAAAGCAATTCGAAAAATAAACTATAAGTAAAGGAACCATCTCAGTGAATAAAGCTATTAATATGCCGTTAACCCGTGAGGCAAACCGAATGATGTTTTATAGTAAATTAGACGAATAAAACATATAACGTTGCCATCTCGACCCTGATGCCCATGAACACAAATGACGAGTTTAAGACAAACCAATTGCGGAATGGAATTGATTAATGCAATATATATTTTATTATGTATTGACAATACTTTTCTGGTTAGATTTTACCCTAAACACGACATGTGTGTTGGTGACAATTTTGGCAGTCATATCTGAATGACTCAAAAACTGTTTATATTTCTTTAACTTTTGGTATACCTAAATTCGGGCTATTATTTATGGTAGAAAGATATAATAAAATGGCCTAAAGCTTTAAAACATATTTTTAAATATGTTGAGGCACCCTAAATTGAATTTGAAGCACCAGGGATA